AAACCAAAACAGCAGATTTAAACTCTCCACCCGTCTCCTCCTATAACGTTTAACATGATCTTGATATTAAGTTTATTAAAGTCCTCCACAGCTCTGCAGACACACTGATGAATGCAGTACAGTGCACACACACACACACGCTTTGTGAGATTTGCTGTCACAACAACAGAGGAGCTGTGAGTCAAAGTTCAGCCACTAAATATTCTGTTTTAGTACCACGTGGGTCAAAACAAAAGAAACTGACTCCAGTCTGCACTGATGCTACAGCTAACACACACATGAGGTTTAAATGTTTCTGAAAAATGATTTTATATTTATGAACTGATCCAAATTAACGTGATGTGTTTAACCCTTTATGGCCGCTCATTTTGTGCGACTCTCTTTAAAGCGGTAGCTCTGCAACCACGTAAGCTAGCACAATGATGGTTTTGCATATGAAACCAGAGGAACTGTACTTACATCTTAAACCATCCGCTTGTCCTAAGTCACAGTTTCCTTCCACATATAACTTTGCAAAAATTGCGTAAAAAGCATTTGCAGCAACAAAAACATAATATTCCAGAAACACACTTTGCCGATCTGATCAGCTGTTCATAACACTTCCTACACTGGAACAGACATCAGCACGAACTATCTGATGTCCGCCATTACCTACCAAAACCGGAAGTGACATCATATTTTGTGGGAAACGTAGTTTTTCCCCTTCAGAGCCTTATAAGCCTTTACTGGTGATTTTCTGTGTAGTTTCTGGGATGATTAGAACGCCAAAGAGTTCTCGAAATAGTTTATTTTGTTGCACTTTTGTACAATTTTTTTTTGTATTTGCATTGCCAAATTTTCTCTAACAAGAAATATGTGTTAAAAAAAAGTAAAAATGATTTTCAAATTTTTTGTAGTTCATTGCACTTTTTGGCTATTTTTGTAGTTGCTATGGACTTAGCGCAATCACATGATTAAAATCTGGTTATAATGGTTGACTGAGGTATAGCAACTTGAACTACTCCCAAAAATAGCACTACAGCATGTAATATATAAGCTCTGGTGGATTTGGTTCTGTGGTAAGTCTTGAAGTATTAAATTGAAATTAAGTCAAATCTCAAGTTTAGTATTGTACAAATACTTTAAAGTACATATAAGACCAACTGCAGCTCTTATATTTTGTATATATTTTATAAATCGTAATCAACATTTTAAAGACTTAAGAACAGGTTCATGTTTTTATTAAAATTAATTAAAAGTCTGTTTGCTCGCATGAACAGTAAATAAACAACAATCAAGTAAAAAATAGAAAATATGGAACAGACCATCAGCTAAACAGTTATTTTAAATACTGGATCATCCTGAACAACATCATTATTACTGATAAATATCTTTTTTTAAAGCAGCTCATGATTGTCTGTGTGTATTTACAGAATGAATCAAAGTGGTCCTGAAAGACTTCCATGACAAACAGTCTAAAATCAGACCTGTCCTGATGTTTCCTCGTACAGAAAACGTGCATCGCCCTTAATGATGCACGCCATCATCAGTTTGTCTCAACATTAGCACTCTGTGTGTGTGTGTGTCCTCTTTAGCTCACACATGAGACAGCCGTGGCTGTAGGAAGCACACATCTGATGTTCCTGCAAAATTAACAACCACCACGACAACATCACGCCTGAGTCCATCTGAGCAATGACTGGATTCATCTTCTCCAGTGACACAACACGCAGCAATCTCAGCACGAACTGGACTTTGAGTTCCAAACACCAGAGATCACCTGCTGTCAACACGCACTTTAAAGTCATCGCCTCGTCTCATTCGACCAAAGCGCCAAAACAGATTCTTGAAATCTCTCGAGAGGAGACCAACTTGAAATCAGGTGCTTTTTATGTTTATGGATAAATTCTTTGACCTTCTTTCGTTACACATATCAGAATGAGCTCCTCTGTTATCGTCACAGCACCGACTCACTCGCACACAAACAAACCCACTGACTTCTCTTTGAGCTCCTCGGGGGAGCCCTTGTCGGGGAACATGGAGGAGATGGCCTCAAAGATCTTGTCAGAGGGAAACTTCTTGCTGGTGTCATTGTTGGTTCGGCCTGGAGACGACACACACACGCTTTCCATCAGGACACAAAACTGTCAGTGTGA